TCTTCTTCTTCGTCGTGGTCTTCTTGCAGGTGCGCGGCGGCTTCTCAACCTCAGGTCCGCTATGGCGGACTATCCCCCTCGGCGGCCACCTCTGCTATAGCGCGTCAGCCCCTGCACACGACGGCGCGCATGGAATAGCGGGTACCAACTCCGATACCAATGCAATCAGACTCGTTCTCAAACACACTTTTCATGCATGTAAACAGCAACGCAGCAAACTGGCGACATGCGCCTACACAAAATTCAGAGATATGGCTTCCAGATACGGGTTCACTCTCAACTGGCTATGGCGACTTCAGCGCCCAAACAACTCACTGTTTACACACACCGGATCACCCTGGATATCCCATACACGTCACTCTGAACACTCGATCACACGCACACACACACTTACTACTAACTACAGCTATGGCAGCTATGGCTGCCTCTAACCTATCACTATACTAACTCCTCTCTCGCCCACTATGTCCTCCGGGCTCATCTGCATACCTCCTTGCACAAGTCGCTGTGGCAGCGCTTCCTCATGGCTCAGGCAGGAATGAATGAAAGGCTGGGCGCTGCCTCTTGATTTATACTTCAGAAACTCGTTGGTCTGCCCTTTGCCATCGGCCCATGGTGCTCACAGTCCCCCCCGTGGCACTTGCTGGACCAGACTGGGACTGACTGGACCTTCCGCTGACTGACTGTGGACTCACCGCTATCCTACCGACGTCGTACTGCTATTGCACTGCAGTTTAGTCCACTACTTGCCTCGCCACTTGCCCACTTGCCTACCTTCTAGAAGGTCTACAGCTAAGCTTCCGGAACTCACTAAGACTTCTACGCTATAGACCTACAGATCGAACCCCTGCTGCCTATGGACCTACGACAGACCTACCAACTGTCTACGAATACACAGGTCACAGGTTCAACTCTCGGGGTCTACACAGATACTGTACATGGGTAGGGTGAGGTCTAGGGATCGAACCCTGGGTACTGCATCCGCTACTGCTAAAAGGTGAAAACCGTTTCAATTAGTACCCGGGATTGGAAATTGCAGTCTGGTTGTTTGCCTGTCTGCGTGTTTTCTTCCCACCCCTCTTTGTACTACGGCAGCGCCACGTCAGCAAGAGCCATGTCAGCAACTGCCACATCAGCAAGGCCACATCAGCAAGTTTTTGTACTACGGCAGCGCCACGTCAAATGGGGTCATAAGCATCGGCTAATTCATTCAACCGCAAAGACGGGGCATATCCTGATAACTACAATGCCAACTATCTGTTTTGGTTAAAAGTTAGCTTCAACACGGCACAACTCAAGAGGAAAACCTATTGTCTCAGTCTATTCTTCTTAACCGCTTGGCCATCCTTTCGCTCAACCATTCTTCTCTCTACCTTCCAACCCTTGAATTTGAGTCACATTTCAAACCTACCTCTGTTGTGTCAATTTTGTTGTTGCGCTTAGCATTTTTTTATGGAAGGCTGGTCGATTCATGTTTCATGCCAGGAAGGTCAACCAGCGTTTCATGCCAGGCTGGTAAACTTGCCGATATAAGACAGCTCATCAACTTACAGACGCCCTTCCTGAGTGCTGGCCTGGCTTTACCACTCAGACCTGTGTTGTTCTGTGGATAGGAACACTGCTTGTCAAGTTTTAATGAAACTTTTTCTACCCAAAGGTTCACATTGAGGTTCAAATTGAACGAAGGGACGCCCAACTTTGTTTGCCCATCATGCAGTCTCTAAGGTTTCTGCTGAACACTCGGATTTCTTTCTTTCTTTTTGCTTTGGACCCGATGTATGTGTGTCATCCTTGTGCAGCGGCCATGCTAATCTTCTCTGCATCGTCCCAATTCTAACGGACCAATACTCAGTGTGTCTAATTCAGATGCTGCATGCTTGATAGTTATCAATGTGGGAACTAGGAGCGGATTAGGTGTTCACACTGCCAGCTGGCCCAACTCGAGGCCTCCTCCCCCTCCCCTCCCCCTTCTCATCATTCTCACTGACATCCCTACCTCCACATTGAGGGCTCGTTCTCTCCTCGCACTCCTCACACTCTTGTCCTTTTTCATCTTCTTCCTCTTTGCCGCCCTCCCTGTGGTCTTCAAGATGAATTGGACTATGTGGTGCAAAAATATCAGTGCCAAATGCATGGTAACCCCGGACCCGGACACCGGACACTTCTGGACTGTCTTCCGGACCAGTGTCTGGACCGGTCCGGACTGTCCGGTGATCCGGACATTACCCGGACATCACCGGACACCCAGACAGTCCGGACCGGTACCAGGGGTGCACAAATGTCCGGACCAAAAAAAAAAAAAAAAAA